CTAGACATGGCATTTCTATGAATTGGCAAATAAATTATGTGCTACACAACTCGTAAAATTTCAAGGTTCTATATTATTTGTCGCCAATAAACCATGTTTGGACTTGTCCGTGATCATTTCGACAAATGCCCAATTCAAAAGTATGTTCACATGCTTACTTGTAAACTATGAAGAAATTATTTATATCCATCTTCATCACTCGCAAATGCCAGCACTAACTGTCTTCAACGATGATAATTTTTTACGTCGACTTGTATAATTTATTCATTTTAAACATAAAGTTATGTTTCAATGCAATCCCGTGCACAACTTCCTACAAATCTATCTTCGTTTCAAATAGTTGCTCGGCATGGAAATCTTAATCAAACCTCATGCAAACAATTAGAGGACCATGAACTCGATCAAATCCTTGAGTTCCCAACCCATTCATATCTCCGATGGGATAAAGGCAATCAAATCATCATTTGTAAATTTATTTTCATTCTCGTTGTCTTGAACTACTGAGAAAATTCTGTATGTAACAGTGAGATCATGATGAGGAACAACTGTCTTAATAATAACCATATCATCCTTACAAACTATAGCTATAGTATCCCAAAAATCATTCACATTACGATCTCCTTCATCGAATTCTTTATGATCACCCTCGGGGACATTCTTCCTCATTAAAATCACGCAAATAAAAGTCATTTGATTTTGGTTCAAGAACCTTCATTTCAACGTCAAAAGTAACTTTTAAAGGTGAAATTGAAATGGATGTATGCTCGTCGAATAGAAATCTCAATTCCATATCGTACGGATTATTGACGTTGAGCTTGTTATATACATCATGGTACATTTTTTCTTATGATTACTTGATGGTATCACAATTTTAATAGCACCAAGTCTTTCAGTCAGTCATTTTCATACTCATCGATAATTTTGATTCACTTAAAATTCATCAAAATAACATGATGAGACTATAATTGATCCCATATTTGCATTATGAAATAGATTTTTTAGGGAAAAAAAACAGATAATGAGGGCAAAAAAATAAAAACTGTCTAGCGAGCTATTCACAGTTGACCCAGCTGTCCAAATGTCTGGGTTGCTCTTCTTCATGCCCAAATGATTGGGTTGGCCTTTTTTCCAAATAACCATGAATCTGTCTGAAAGAATATGTAGATGAATTTTTTCTCATTTTTCCTTAAAAATTATAGATATGTTTAAGAAATACAAAAATTTAAATCCTATGTTGAAATATGATTTAACAATTAAAATAATATGCTAATTTAACTAAAAAAAAATAAACATATGTAAATATGTTTATCGATTCGAAGTGATGGATATAAAGAAACTTTTCTTGTTGAGCATTTGAACAATTTATAAGAATTTAAGGTGAAAACAGATGAAAAATGAAAGAGTTTTTATTTGTGTTAGAGTAAATAGATAAAGAAAGTGACTTGAGTTTGAAATTTTAAGTGGGAAGTATATGGTTTTTTACTTTGTCACTTAAAGTGTATTATTGTCTTTTAAACAAAACCATATCTTTGTAATTGTATACATACATAAGGGTATTTCTCTCTTTCAATCATGAAAAAGCCATCGTGGTTAATGACAAATAACTTAGTCTTACGTGAAAATTTGGGGAAGAGTGTTGACATGGCTAAACTTAAAGGCATTTTCTATAAGACTGTGATTTCATGTATCACAGATTTTTTTCATAACCAGAATCTTTAATTAAGTCAAAATTGATAAGATTGTCTTGTCCTGAAGTGATTCACTCTTGTCCCCTCCTTTGAATATACAGACTCAAAAAAGGAAGAAAAATGTAAAATAAGTGCTCAGTTATGGAAGGGAAATGAATTATCCCACCGAGTTCTTTATTGCGTAAAAATATAGTGGATGAGAGATCATAATGTATTACCTTTCGAGAAATCGAAATCACAAAGTTCTTTTGTCCAATGAGTCGATGGCGACATAAGTTATTGCACCTCTTAGTTTCTAGAGTATGTTGCAGGTCCTTGTATGATGTAGGGAAAAAATCACAACTCAGGGATATAGAATACCCCAAATTAAAAACCCCCCATAATGATTGAAAATTCAAATGTCCGGTGTATATATATATATATATATAGAGAGAGAGAGAGAGAGAGAGGAAGATTATGTTACATCCGTTTCCTACAATTAAGCTCCCTTACCATATATAATAGGACTCCAAATATAAAAAATATGTAACCAAAATTCAAAAAAATCTGCCCGATTTCATTATGCACAGCAACGAAATTAATGTTGTCGATTGATTTTACTACAAATTGGTCGATTTCATTACTCTATCAGGTCACAGAGATCGGTGTCGATTCCATAAAAAGGAAATAATTATCGGAGAAGCCAATCCAAGTAATAATATGAATGTTATGTTCGTCGATTCGAATGTCACATTCCGAACTGAATTCCGTAACACAAATTGGTCGTAAAATCATTGTTGCAGGGGACAAGAAATCATTGCTGGCCATGAAAGTGCTGATCATCCCTGGCTAATATAATACAGGTAATAGTGTATTTTGCTGTGATCACAACTTGAAATCAACAATCACGAGACTAATGTCGTTCATCACAAAATTAGTATAATATCTAACTTATAGGTCACAGCTGCTCATATCGTCGTTAGCTGGTTTCTCGTCACATGTTGCTATTCAGTAGAATCGCAGTAGACATATGTATCACATGCGTGAACTGTATGTGTAAATGTCACCTGATCTGTGGAACTGTAACCTCTATACTGTGAAATGTGAAGTATTACAACAACTATGTCCATGTATTTAGCATCAAACGTGTAGTTATTCACTTCAAGCATATGCGACCTCTATGTAACAATGTAGGAGAAGTCATATGTGACCTAATTTCTGGCTCCGTAACCCTAATTGGTAATGCATGACCTGCTGTGTGAAACTGTGACTTGACTTGTGAATCTGTAACCTATTTGATGTGACATGTTTCTCCCACAATGTGTCGAGAATGTAAAATCAAACATTTCGTCATTCGTTGCGAGCATATCAACTCTGTAGTTTGAATGATACCAATCTGTGACCCGACTTGTGATTGTCTTATCCATAACTATTTGTAACCTGGTTTGCTAATTTGTGACCTCGTTGCTGTGCAATATGACATGTGACATATTTCACATATGATGAAATTATTGATATTAATTCTAATTTGCAGAATGGTGTACTTGCATGTATATTTACTGTATGGAATGCAATCATTATTGGCGTTGGTAGCTCGCAACTGCAGTTATTTAACCCTTGTGGAAACACTGATGACAGAATTTGCTCTGGATCCTACGAAGGTAGCTGTGTCATTGAAGTACATATTGAAGGAAGATTTGCCTCTCATCAGGATAAAAAATGACAATAATGTACTATCATACGTTCTACTAAAGGACATGGAGCATGAACCTACTAAATATCCGATAATCATTGACGTTGTTGAGGCAGAAATATATAATACATCCATCATAGTGCCAGTCAATGCGCATTCCGGCAGTGAGATGTTTACATTGCAAGACATGGCATCAAACATATGCAAAGCATCAAATGAAAAAATGGGTCACCTTTGTGACACTGAAGTCACAGTTGTGTCTATCATGAATGCTAGAAAGGTAGAAGAAGGAAGGGTGTTCCGTGATAAGGATGTTTTGAAAATGAGCCTGTCATTTTTTGCCATACAGAGCATGTTTTAGTTTATGGTTGAATGGTCCGATAAGAGAGAATAAGTTATACAGAGCATGTTTTAGTTTATGGTTGAATGGTCCGATAAGAGAGAATAAGTTGTGCAGTGTTCCAATGGTGGATGTAGTTGGATATGTAGAGCTTCGATATGAGATAAAACAGATCTATTTAAGATTCGAAAGATTGTTAGTCACACATGTACATCAAATGTAGTATAGGATCATATAGGCAAATGTCATCTAAGGTTGTGTCGTCTACAATTAAGTACAAGTACACATCGTCCCGTACTATAAATACACCAAAGAACATATACAGTAACATGTTGAATACTTATTATGTTTATTTGAGTTACTCAAAAGCTTGTAGATCTCGCGAGCAAACTTTGAAAATGATTAGGGGTGACCCAGCCGAGTCAGTTGGTAAGTTGCCAAACTTCTTCTACATGCTCCGACAGAAAAATCCTGGTACGATCATAGAAATAGAGGTTGATAGTCACAGTAAGTTCAGATATTGATTTATGGCACTAGGTGCATCAATACGGGGATGGGAGCATTGTAGACCGGTGATTGTTGTTGATGGTAAATACTTGAATGGTAAATATGGAGGTACACTTTTCACAGCATATACACAAGATGCAAATAATAGTATATTTATTCTTGCTTTTGGAATTGGAGACAATGAGAACGACAAATCTTGGAGATGATTTTTCGATAAGATGAAGAAAGCATATGGAAACAGAGAAGAGCTGTGTTTTGTGTCGGACCGTCACCCCGGTATAAAGAATGCAATAGAACATGTGTATTCGGAAGCCTGTCACGGTATTTATTCTTACCATTTGTTGCAAAATCTAAAATATATTATGGAAATCCGGCCAAAACATTACACAAGCATTCAATTCGGCTGTCCGTGCTTACACGCTAGAAGAATATGATTATAACATGTCTTTACTGACTACGATGAATAAGAAGATAATTTCTTACCTGGTAGTGTAATTAATCTTATATCATTTTACATACATATAAATGGTCACTTATGGTATTTACATAATGAATTTAATGATTGATTTAAGTTTGCAGGTTGATGTTGGACTTGAAAAGTGGTCATGCTACAATGACATCAAACATTGTGGAACCGATCAACGCGATCACGAAGGCAGCCAAAAATTATCCTTTTGTATCCTTGCTAGACTCATTACGGCAAACCATACAATCGTGGTTTTGTAGACACAGGGATGATGCACATGGAACTTTCACAAAGTTGTCGAGCAAGTACGAGAAATAGATTAGGAAAATGAGCATGAATTTGAGAAACTTGAGGGTAATTTTTTATATTTTAACATTGAGATGTATATGTGACCCAATGTAAGTGCTAGTAACTTGAACTGTAATGTATCAAATCTGATGTGACCTGTTTTGTGATTCTGTGACCTGGTTGGTAAACTAAGTTTGACGCTCCATATTCTGTTTCATAGCTATCTGTGAATGGAACAAATTTGTGTAACCTGATATATAAATCTGTGACCTAAGTGATGTGGTATGTGATGTAACTGTGTATTCTTTGTCCACTTTTTATTTTGATGCATGTCTATCTGCCAAATGAGGCATGGACCGCATATGTAACATGCTTCCTGAATCTATAAATGAACATAGGGATATGAGTCATTCATGCGTGACCAACACGTTGGAGTATATGTGACCTATATTCAACTACATGTGACCTGACTGTTGTTATATGGACGCAGGTATCTCCTTCAAACCAAACAGTGTTTTCTGTCAGCAACGAAAGGTCAACGTTTGTCGTCAATATTCAGCAACGAACATACACTTGCAGGATTTTACAAGTTGATTTGTTACCGTGTCCACATACTTTGGCTGTAATTGCAAACACAAGAAAAGATCCATATGATTATCCTTCCTATTATTACACAAGAGATGCGTACTTGAATACATACCAAGATTCTGTATATCCAGTTGGAAATCAAGAGGAATGGACAGTGCCAGAAGAAGTACAGCGAGAAATAGTGTTACCTCCTAACCAGAAGAGGAGTTGTGGAAGACCTACAGAGAAAAGAAAGAGATTATCCAGAGAAGGGAGATCGACGGCAAAATGCGGATGTTGTGGAGGACAGGGTCACAACCGTAGGAGATGCTCCAGCTTAGCTCCATTACGCTAAAATGACCGATAGAATACATACAAATTTTCATAGATAGGTGATATTCTTTTAAGGATAATGTTCATTTTAAATAGTCTCTTTAAAGAATGCATTCAAATTGATCAACTTACAGTTAATTGTCTATCAACTTTGGAGTCAGAATAATAATTTTAGGAGATTTGGACTATATATGTAACCTGATACCAAATCTGTGACTTGTGTGCTCTGACTTGTGAGGTTTGACATGCCGTCTGAAAAAGTTACCTGATTTGTGAATATGTAACCTGAAATGAGAATATGTGACCTGAAGTGTGGACACATACAGGTTACATAAATCCTAACATCTGTAACCCATGTGCTATGACATGTGAAGTGTCGTATGAAAGGTATGTGTGACGTGATATGTAAATCTGTGACCAAGTTTAGAAACCAACTGTGACTTGTCTGTTGTACCATATGACATATTTCACCGACTACGTGACGCTGTTAGAAATAAAGAATATGTATTATTTATACAATTTATATAAAAATAGCATTAAAATATAATCGAAGATGGATAAATTATGAACCTAAACACATTAATATCCTTTACTGCAAATCAAAGATTACGAGTTACAATTCATTACATGAACCTCTATTGACCAGACACATGCAATGTTCATAACATTTACAAACTAAATCCTTATCTTCACTAACAAATCTAAAGCCACTTTTCATTCTATAACAAGCACTTCCCCTGTCGTAGGCATCACTTTCTTTGTGTAAACATCTCAGTGTTTGTAGAGCAGCGTAGCAATATTCATTCTGAACTTGCTGGCATCAAACTTCTGGGGAATGGAACATTTACCACCACGGATAAGATACAACGCATATAACACCACGAATATTCCGCAATCATGACTACAGAACATATTACAGACTGTTATGAATGAATCCATCAAAAGGATATACGCATTGTAAATCTTGGTCACAAACTTATCCATTTGTTTGCTAAAGGAGTGTGTCATCGATGATCACTTTCAATTCTTTGGCTTCTAGCTCATGATAATCAGGATCCCTATTTGAAATTCCTAGGGTATTCATTAAAGCAGGCAATACTTTTACGTACGGCTCAATACCTTGCAAAACCTTCCAATCACGGTAAGATTTACCTGTCGAGTTGAACACAGTCAAGGGATAACTTCTGAATTGTAACAGGCCAAGCATCTACTGTGCTTTGTTAGTGGGTATGATCGGCATGAACACATAGTTAACATCGACCCAGGGTGAGCTAAAAGAGAGGTTGTGACCTATTGCAACATCAAGCAGGCTCGACTCTGACATCAAAACATTTGGGTCCTTTATGAAGGCAGGAAAAATGTCTTTTATTTTAATCTGGAACCATGAGTTTGTAGTAGTGGCTTTGTATTTCACATTTTTGCCAAGTTTTGCTATCTGGCGAATGAAGTAGAAGCAGGTATCCATGTGCTGTTTCAATGAGAAGAAAATATATAAGCATTACGTACTCTAGATTGGATACGAATATAAAATGTGACTTGTTTGTGAATATGACTCTGTAACTATTTACAATATGAAATGTGACATGTTTGTATCATCTCTGATACTCTTCTTAACGAGTATGAAAGAAATTAGAATTCTAAAAAAAGTAATGTAACTTAATTGAGTGGGTAAACATAATCGTATCGCACCACTCAATGATTACTCCGAATTTATAAGCTCATGCAACCAGGTCTTATGACCTACTGGGAATGAATTAATTAGAAAAGCAAGCTTGATGGCATCATCTTCCTCGCTAAACTTTTTCCTATGACTGACACTAAAGGTTACATGTGTTTTGTCAAACTGTGTATTGAGTAAATCTTGACAGATAGGTACAAAATGCACTTATTTGTTTTTTGGTTTGAACCCATCTGGAACCAATCCATGAAGGCCGATTTGTCAACCTCGTCAACATTGTCTTGGTAATCCTCGAAAACGACAACATTATTATCGTGTTTGAATAATTTCCCTCTCTCCTGTCCGACAACAAAAGGAGACTGCAATACCATCGATGACTTTAAAACCTTCTTAACTGGTAATTTCGAGGTTGGATCCCTGTATGTTATTGCAGTAGGTTATAAAATAGATTGAAAATACGGTACATGAGCTGTCTGTGGCATAATTTGTATGTGGTTTGTCACCTATACATGTGACTTGGTCTGAATGTGTCTGTGATATGTGACATATGATTGGAAGATAGTTTGGAAGAGTGTATGGCCTGTGACCCATAAATATAACGTGGTTTGGAATGTATGTTATCCGTGACCTATGGATAGGACATGAGATGAAGGAATCTGTGATTTGTTACCTACTAATGTGACATGATTCGAAACTGTGTTTAATCTGTGACCTATGAATGGGACATGGTTTGAAGGTATCTGTGCTCTGTGATCCATGACTGGAACATGTGTTGGTATTGTGTATGATCTGTGACCTATGAAAGGGAAACCTATGAAAGGGACATTATTTGGAATGTCAGTGAAATGTAACCTATGAATAGGACATGATCTGAAGTGTGTGTGATCTGTGACCAAATAATATAACATGGTTTGGAAGTATGTGTGATTTGAGATCTACAACTATTGGAACATGTAAATACCCCATTCTCTACATTCTTTGTTGTGGTCACCACATCAAATATGATGGAATCTACCCTCTTCTGAGTTTCCTCTGAATCCAAAACAATGGGTGGGGTGAATTCAATCCCCAAATCAAATGATGGTAGCTCAAGGAAAAAGAGAAGATCATCACTTGGGTCTATTTTGCCCTTCCCTTTTCTGTTGATGTTTGATACTACGTTTTCCACCTATATGTTGAATGAAAAATGTCAAAATGAACTATGTTATTTTATAGAAATGTAAAATATATCAAGTGACTACCTCCTGAGCCTTTTCAAATCCCCCAGCCCCATGATGTTCTTGATCACCAACTCCAGGAGCTTTTTTTTGTCCTACTCCATGCTCGCTTGTCCTGTCACCAGACCGTCTAATGATCTTGTCCATTGCACTGGATATCATTATTGACATAGACTCAAATAGAAACTGCATGTTCGTCCGAATATCCATCAGGTTACTTTTAATACAGACTTGCATTTGAATAATGTCATCCATTTTGTTAGTCTTCCATTCGTTCAAAGATGACATATGTGACTTGATGTCTTCAAGCTCCATTTTTAACACTTTATTATCTACCTGGAGTTCGGATACTTGCACACGCAACACCTCAAAAGCCTGGTAAAAATGAATAACTGATTATTATATGTTGCTTGCAACATATCTGTGACCAACCATCAACATACAATGCACATTGGTCTATCTGTGACCTGATGTGTATGAAATGTGACATAGGAAATATTGATGTGTGACCAATGATGGAAATATTGAGAGCTGACTAAAATAACAACTTACGTCATCCCTTTGTGCCCCATGAGATTGTGGCTCCTCTTGAGAATGAGCGGTTGTAGGACCTTCAACAATCGGGGATTTTCCACGGGCGGATGGCTCCTGCCGTCTTGGAGGAGGAGCAACAAAATCGTCGTCATCATTTGAATAGTGAGCTTGTCCAATATTACTGTCCATCAATGGTAGGACTGATGGAACCGACTTCCCGCTAGTACCGGCATCTTCAATAGACCTCTCCGTCCTGCGCTTGGTTCTTCTTCGGCTCTCAGTTGAGAACGTCGGCTAGATCGGCTTGTTGTATTGGACTCCGTTCATGTATGGCATCGCCATTTCACTTTCCAATGGTTCCAAGTTACAAATCACAATCTACAATACAATATGTTGTTTATATGAATGCAAAGTCAAAAATTCAGTATTAATTGCATTACGCTTACTGGAACTTTACCTTAGGATTGGAGAAGCAGTCAGGTCCTTCCAATTTGGCAGTTGATGGTTGCTCATTTGCCATCCAATTTACAATGCGGGGATGCACTCTCGATATCCTGGTGACCACGATGCCCTCAAGACTGGGAAAAGTCTCGTATATCTATGCTTGGAAGGCTACAAGCATTCCTCGTAGCCTATAGTGTGGGTCCTCCTGTTGAGTCCGTCTCTCAATGCACCCAGAGTAATTTGGAATAGCAGCTTGCCCCATGGAAAACTGTTCATTTCATTAAAGTCCTTGACAAGAACAAACAGGAAGTGGTCGACAACCTTCTTGTAGTCACAGGGAAAGAGATGCCAGTTAGAAAATATAAAACCCCGAACATTGCAACGTCATTGTTTGGTAAGGCTTCAACCAGATCGAGATCAGGCATTTGGCATGCAGACAGAAATGTGTCCTTCACATCTTCATGTGTGACAGTATCTACTTGTGAAAAGTATTTGGCCTTCAACTTTGACTGCCTATTTTCAAAAACCTCAGTATCTGTATCGCCTGAACATCTCAGTCCTGTGACCAAACATAACTCAGATATAGAGAACCTGACGTATCTCCCGGAAACATAAAACCATATTTCTTCCTCATTTGGATGATGAACCTGCCTTAGAAGGAAGTAGTGAATCAACTGTAATTGAATCACTATTTCATAGCAATCCAAGAAGTGGGCAAAGCATGTGCCCCTCAATATCTGTTTTTGGCTTTAGCTTAATTTTAATTGTATAGTAGTGAGAACACCCTTGTACACAAAGGTGGTAATCTTGCCAGGATACCAACTTTTTTCAGGTATTTTAAAGTGTCAAACCTACATAAAGTGTTAATAATAGTAAAATTGTTAAGTACCTGTACAGTAATTCAGAGACAGAAAAGGAAATACATTTAGGTGATATGGTCACATATAAGTTAAATTCAGGTCACATATATGTAATTGGTCACATATGGACATCATATTACTAATGCACATCATCAACCATATTAACAGTCAGCTCACAGGCATACAAAGTCTTTTCATTCAGGCCACATATTCTCAACAGGTTTCAGTCACATTCTCAACCCTGTTAAGAATTATAAGTAACAACTTTTACATAAATTTTCAAGTGATC